TTCTAAGATGTAAAACCACCTGAAAGCTGAACCACCTGATCAGTGCTTTCAAGTAAGTAGACCACATCTACTGACTTTCTCATAGGACCTGAATGCAGCATTACATCCACACACACTAATCAAACCACCCAGCACATCTACAATCCCGCCATATATATATGTCTGCTGCTGCTAAATATAGCAACCCCGCTTTGATGATGCTGCGGTGACTGTGGAGAACTCGAAATAACCCCCCTCTCTGCTTCTCAATGGCGCAATTACCCGTAATAGATTAAGTGCATTCAGGATGCATGGAGGAGTCTGGCCAAAGCCCTGCACCGTGCATGACCTAATGAAGAAGTGGCTAGTATGGCTATGCAAATGTGCCATGTGTTGAGTAAGCAGCCATAGCGTATTAACAGGGTTGCCAACTTTGGGTACCTGGCTGGAGTGAGATTTTGATATCATGGGTTTAATTACACATAGGCCTATACGCACTAAATTACTGCTATCGTGTTAGCAGCGGGACCTTAGCATATATATAGGATATATATACAATATATACAAATACACAATATTGGACACAGACTATAAAGGGCACAAAGTTTCATTCACTAATGAAAGTCAAACACATGTTTATTTCCACTGTTTTACATGTGCCTGTCGCGATAAGCAATTAATTGACTTATCGTACGATAAATAAAAATGAACTCGATAAATTGCCATTTACATGAGGATGTGACTAGCAGTTTGAAAGGATGTACTTGAATTATTATTATATATTATCATTATGCGGTCTAAAATGGTCATACAACGGTGCCAACAATATTATCGTTTATCGCAATAATTTCCGGGAAAATGTATCCAACAAAATTAATTATCGTGAGAGGCCTATATACATGAAACACACACACACAGACAAATCTACAGACTTACTCCAAACTGCCAAATATATTAATTAACACACTCTCACTCTCATATACTCTTTGACTCTATTTTGGCCTAGTAGAACAATAAGCAGCAGACTTTTACTTTTTTATCATTTCTACTGGATCTTAGATCTGCGCATGCGCAATACGGGTCGGGGATTGACCAACTGGCTCCGGCTCCCACTCGCTCCCACTGCTCTGCTGTCTGTTAACGTTGTTAAGTGGTGGGGGCGGGGAGGGAGCGGATCGACAGCTTGAGCAGCTGTCAACTCAACATTGTAAATAACCAACCAAAAACGATCGCCGGTTCATCTTGTTTTTGGGTGAGAATAGTTTGGGCAGCGTGAGAGTTGGCAACCCTGGTATTAACTAATGGGGAAAAGGACTTAGAAAACGTGAGGCAACCCGGGCTGTGTGAACACTCAAGTTATCAAAAAAACAAAACGTTTTCCAACATATAAAATGTAACTCCTCAGTTAGCATGTTCATTAAAGCTACATCCCACATGCTACCAGCTAGCTAGCAAAAACTAGCATAAGGAACGTTTTAACAAGTTATATACTTAGTACTTTGGGCTAATACCTGTTTGTGAGCAGAGACATTACAATTAAAACATAAAAATATATACTTGTATCATTCCAACTTACTTCTAAGCATGTTATCCCTTGGCTCAGGTGGTGCAGTAGTGTGTGTTGCACATGTGACTGGAGAGTGCGCTGCACCCTTCAGATTTGTTCTAACCTTTTCAAATTCATATATTAATATAAATACAATTGCTCGGATATGTATTATAACCTTGGCCTTTATTTATTTTTGAAACATTAAAAAGTACATAAAATGTTAACATGACACAGATCTGTGTTGCTTTTTGCATATCTGCAAACATATACATATTGATCTTTGAGCCCTATCAAACCATATGGCTGGCTTGCCAAGATTGGATTTGCTTTAATTAACCAATTGTGTTAAACATAATTTGAACTAAAGAACAATTAGCATCTACAGACAATATCAGACTGTCCAAACAGAAGACATTACAGGATTAATTACATTTTCTAAGTAATTATCCCTTACAGATAACCTGATGAGTGATATGACCTCGACTAACATTTAGCAGTTCAAACACTCATTCAAACACTTTTAAGAAACACTTTATATTAAAGGAAATGGTCATCACTTTTGTAAAGCAAGGCAGGTAAAGACAAATGTACTGATAGTAATGGGCCTCTGTCTACCAAACTCCTTGACAGCCTATTAATACTAGACAGAACCATCACTCAGGAATGATAAAACAATCAGGGTGTAATGACTGATAGAGATGGAGACAGAGCTACTCAATAAAAGTTAGGTGGAAAGAGTTACGACAGAAAATAGGAGAAACAAGAGAGAGGACAACGCTGAAGTAGGACAGAGCGCACGGGAGGCCCATCTGTCCCAGATCAGTCGTCTCCTGCCGGCAAGAGAGGGAGAAGGAAAGAGTGAAATAAGAGAGAAAGAGGGAGAGAGTAAACGAGATGGCTAAATCTGGAGTTTTGATCTACATCCTCCTCTGAGCAACGTAGCAAATGTTAAAAAAGGAAGTGAGGATTCACTCCCTGCACATACCAGAGGAGAGATTAAAAAGTAAATATACGCTAAAACCTAAAAAAAGGCTCTTGACAAGTTGTTAGCACCGCACTTACTGAACACAGGGATGTGCAGTTTAAAAGAAACAGCATTGACCTCATTTCTCTTCCTCTACGACCCCTGTGGAAGAGGTTTCAGAATAAATATGGCTTGAAAAAAATCCCAATTATTCCACTCAATCATCATGTATTTTCATAAGGCTTTTTTTGCCATCTTTCATACAAGTAAGCCATGTTGTGGTTAACAATCACCTTTTTCCCAAGCTTTGTAGAATCAAATGAGTGGAGAAAAGAGATGTTGGTTCCCTGATCCCAACATTAGGATTGCCTCGGGTGTAAATGCTAACTGTATGCTGTGTTCTGTGTGTGAAGTAGAACTTAAATGTGGCGTTCCAAAACACTGTCAAACAAGAATGAATCAAAAGTACTTCAGTTTATGGGGGATGTTTATGATGGTTGGTAAATTATGACTGTTAGCTGGACCTTAATTCACTCTGTGCCAACTTACATCTGAAGTACAAACAACATGACCGCTATAATTAACATTCAACGGCTTCTGCATCAGTCTATGAAATCAGATCAACTCGGCTTCAACTGGCCAAATGAATTGAGCTCCCAGATAGTCAAAATAACAGATCAGCTAAACTGGGATCAGCACCTCTGAACCTCATAAGACTACAGACTACAACTTCAGACACTGTATACATCTGACCAGCCGAAGGACTAGCAACATGAACAGCTGGATGTCATACGAGATTGACAGTGAAGGTTGCCTTTTGATGGAGCAAACAGCAAGACATAAAGTGGTGTTAATAGATTATTGCTGGACTCCAATTCAACATTCCTGTTAACTCTTTCTTACCAGAAGTGTGTTCAAGAAATGAATATAATGCTGTCCAAGTCAGATGGTGAAAATGATATGGCTACCTGATTGCCTGTAGCAAAGAACAAGGTGGGGATAACTAGGTAAAGAAACACAACATAAACTATTTACTACAACACAATAGAAAAAGAAAGTTAGACAAGAGGAGAATACATTTTTTGTGTATGAATGAAGCACAACTTAAACGGATCGGCAGAGCTTATGTTAGGGTGAAGCAACTGCTTGACATCAGTATGTGATGTGTGTTTGAAGCCCCACTCAAAGTAAAGAGTGCAGTGTGTGTTTCACACGCTTGCACACCAGAGATTAACAGAATAATCAGTACACATCATCAAAATAACACTTTTATACATCAATACACACTATATGCTTCTTGAAATCCACTGTTAATTAACTTGTCATTGTTATAAATTGTCTGTGTGGAGTGTGATGAGCACACAAAGCCTCAAACAACAAGTTGTTTGCAATTTAACTTTCAATACTTCTACATTATGCTGAAATCCACCTTACAGCTCTTGGCAACATTCTGCAGTACAGAAGAAGGGGTAATTATGTGTGTCCTGTAAGTGACCTGCCATCACCTTCCTATGGGCTATATCCAATAGAGACAAAGGCGTCTATAGATAGAATAACGTCAAGTACAGAGATAATGACAAGAACCAACCAAACACATGTTTCCTGCTGGCAGGATGACCCTTTTTTGTGAGGCAGTGGCTCAAGTGAAAGGACAGTAGTTTGAACATTAGCTATACAACTCCTCTGCTGTTTAATGCATGGCAACACTTATTATATCTGTACCTGAGTGCATTATTTCCCACAATTTTAATGCTAAGGTACACCTGTGTCCGTGTTCATCCATGCATACCCTGCTTTTCACGCTACAGTCAATATGTCAGGGTAGCATAAGTGAGAGTTACTGTGGGATTTTATGCACAATAAATCCAAGCATGTCTCATACATCTACCTACAGCATATCTCTCTTTTTGGGGGGATTAGCTAAATGTTCACATTTAAACTTGACTATGCCTTGTGTACAAATCTGTGTATCCTTCCGCGGATGCATCCTCCTTTTTATTTCCCCACGTTTTCTCTTGTCCCCTCTTCTTGTGCCTCCATGTAAAGCTGGAAGAGAGTATTCATCTGCTGGCATCATTGAGTAATCCACTGTCAAACATTGTTTGTTTCCTCTTTTCTGTGCATCCTTTCAGCACATCCATTACAGCTGTCTTGTCTTTCTCATGTCATTTTTTTCATTTTGTGCAACTGCTGTATATCTTAAATTAAAGCCGTGTGATAGAGAAGTTCATGTGTTACATCAATGCAGTCAACTTGAACATGCAACCCCCTCCCTACCCTATTGCACACACACACACACACACACACACACACACACACACACACACACACACACACACACACACACACACACACACCCTTTGATTCCAACACTATCGCTCCACAAACATGAAATCGTATTCTCTTCTGCTTTGCCATGCACCCCCCACCCCCCCCCGCCTCCATCTCCGTGCATGTCTCCTTGAGACAGAATAAAAGAAATGCAGAAAAGACAGAAAACATTCTTACTGTCTTCTACAATCCCAGAAGAAATACAGAAATGCCTCCTCGGGAAAAAGGGACACAAGTAGAAAAGAGAGAAGGGGGAGCCCAGCGGTTGCCAGTTGCAAAGGAGTAAGGAGTGAGGAGGGGCGAGCAGGAAGATGATGAAGACTGGATAAAGGGGAAAAAAGAAAAGATAATCACTGCTGCAAGAATGGAGACCCTCCTCCTCCTCCACAGCCGCCTCAAGAAATTACAAGGAGCCCGGCGTGCTGCTGTATGCTGAGGGATGGAGCATTATCCTCGCTCCCAGCTCGTCCTCCAGCAGCAACAGCAGCTCTGTAGTAACACTTCTCTCCACTCGGTCCGGCAATCTCCCCATCCCTCACTCGCTATCCTCCCCTCCACCCTCCACCCTCCACCCTCCCTTCAGCATGTTCAGAGTCCCATCTCTCTCTCTCTCTCTCTCTCTCTCTCTCATCAGGTATAATGTATCTCTCTCTCTCTCTCTCTCTCTCTCTCTCTCTCTCTCTCTCATTGTACTGGTTGGTTGGTTGCTCTCTCTCACCTCCCTCCCATACCTCTCTCTCTCTCTCTCTTTCCCTCCCCTCCTCCCTCCATCTCTCTCCCCTCAATCATTACCCGGATACAGGGCATACCCCTCCCACCCTTTATCTCTCTCTCCCTCTCTGTCTTTGATGTTGTGGAGTCTCTTAACTGTTTATTTTTTCCTTCTCACAGAAAGCAACATAGAACAAAGTGGGATCCACCCAACAGTGCAGTGATACACATATCACACACACATAAAACAGTATCCAATAACTAGCATGCAATATCAACAACAAAACCACAGACGTCAATTAGCGACATGTCTCTCTTTTAAATGGATGCTTTCCATAATCCAACCATTATTTCCAAACATACAGAGCAGCACAAATTGCAGCAGTGCAGCCAATATGTGTATTTTCTCTTTCACACACGCACAGAAATATGAATTAGAAATGAAAGAGATGTGTATAAGAGGATGAGGGAAGCCACTACTGCAATGCTTATTACCATAGAGGGGGGTGAGGGAGGAGAGGTGTGTGGGTGGGTGAAGAGGGAGCTTTCTACAGACGAGCTGAACTGAATAGCAAGTAGAAATCAACTCCATTATACCAATCAGTGATGAGTGAAGCATGTCAAACTTGCCTCATGGCTTTAATGAGCAAACACCTCTTTAATTGGTGGGGATGAGTAGGAGTGGTTGGGGGTGGCGGTCCTAATGGTTGTGTATATAGTCACAATGATCAAAGCGAAAACAGATGCTTCTCAGCAGTAAGATCTCCCTCTTGTTGCTGAGGGTGATACCTTTAAAGACTGTGCTGGCCTGCTTGACACTTGGTAAATCTGAGGCCCTTGTGGATGTTCAAGTGAGATCCCAGAGTCCCAGACCTGCCAAAAAAAACACATCTGCCATAGATTTCCCCAGCGCAAAAAACTGCTCTCTTTACAGATGATGTTCACGCTACATGTCAGATGTTGATGAATATCACTGGATAAGAATCCACGGATTAATGTAAGAGGCAAGGTTTCTCACAACAGGCTGTTCCACACTGTTACATTATGGAAAACAGGATTTTTATACAGTACTATGAAAAATGGCATTTACAACACAAACATGTTTGGATTTGTTTTCCCCGTCTCGGAGTACATTCTGATAAGGACTTTATATAAATCTTGTATAGTTGATAGTGACAGTCAAACTCTGACCTCAGCTCTTGCTCAGTGCTAATAATAAACTTCACCATCCTTCAATAAATGTTATCTGATTAACATTACATCCATTAACTCAAAGCATAACATTTGGAAACGGATGAGAATGAGATGTAACCTTTATAGCGGGGGCTGTGCACCTCTTCCCTCAATCATGACTCATACGGAGCAAACTTTTTCACACAGTATTAAAAGCATTACACCATCTGATCCAGTGGTTCTTTAAATATGTTTGTATTGATTAGTCAGCCTGCATCCTCCATCACTGCCGCTTTGACTAATTGAGTCTGTATGTATCGAAGGGGTTTCTTACACAGATTTTGTAGATCATGCTCAAGCAGGACCAACAGTATTAATTGGATGAAAGTAAGCAAGCTGTAAGCTTAAAAAGGGTTGCTGGGCTCCATCAAAATCACAACTGCAACTGTGGTTTGTACAAGGAGCCAGGGGAGTTGCCTTAATAGCACAGTCAGACTTAATAAAGAAAGATGGCCATAATGATGATAACAGCAATATTCCTGCTTGTGCAGCTGCCATATTTATTCAGCCCCCCCCCCCCAACCCACACAGGGTTTTGTTGGCCTCATAATTTACACTAATGCACTGACACCTCAGCCAGTCATTTGGACATCCTGCAACCTGTCACCTGGGAAATAATGTGCAATGCTAGGGCTCCTTTCTAAAGCGCTCTCCTCCCAGCCTAAGCTTGTTTCCTCAGGATTACACACTGACTGTGTGCTCTTTCCCCACAAGGGTTTCTGCTCTACTGCTGATGGGTGGTGGTTAAAGCTGCACAAAATGCAACTCAACAGTCAGCCATTTCACAGGGCTACTGCTGCCGTGCAACTCTCATATGACAGATCATTTCCCCCCAGAGTACTTTTAGTCATGTGGCTACATAGATTGAATGGAACTCTGATGTACGCAAGAGTAAGACGAGAAGCATCCAAGGTTACATCTAATGAATAATCCAATAGATGGAAAACTAGCAGGGTTCAAATGTTTTATGTGGCACAAAATTGAATTCTACCACATTTTCTATCAAGAAACCCTGCATGGCGTACACAAGATTAAAAGCAGTGGGCAGTAACTAAACATCTACTCAAGATGTGTTCTTACATACAAACCACTTGATCATTTATAACACGTTTCAACTCTTTCCAAACTTCCGTTAGTGCCATGAGTGACACAGAAAAGATTGTGTTAAAGTTTCAGACATTTCCCTGTAAGTAGATGAGAGGCAGAAAGCCTTGACTGGATGTCACTATAGGGGCATGTTATAACAAAATAGAGAAAAACGTATGAGTTCAATGTTTCTTACACCCCAATCACTTACCTAATTTGAAAATAAACTTTTTTTCTAGGACTCCGAATATCTTTGCTTTATTTCCCATAAAATCACCTCAGGACCCCTCTGCTAAACCGTTTTAGGAACCGCTGGACTAAACTACCCAACACTCAGTAAAAAGATTAAGCTCCATGTTGACCATGTAGCTAAAACAGTAAGAAGCTGCTTATCCTAAACAATGAAGCATCCATATTATCTATTTAAAACTTGATTCAAACAATAATTGACCAGTCACAGGGGACTTTGGAGCCACTTGGTTCTTCCACCACTGCTCAGGAGAATTAACCTGTGTCCTATGTTACAACAGCTGAGAAACACAGGGTTTTCAAATGAATACCTTTTTTGCATCCCTTATTTTGTTCAGTCTCTTTGAATATACCATCTCACTACCACAAGGAATAAGCTCTCACTCTCTTTCCGTCCTAATTATAAGAAAACCATTATACTTGGCATCAGAATTAACTACTGAGAAAGGCGGAACTGGGTCATGTGCTGAAGGAGAGGAGGGGTTCGAGGGGAATATACAGGTTGTATATGATGAAAGAACAGGTAGAGAGGAAGGCTGAGCAATAAACCAGGAGAATGAACGCTCGTCCCAAGATGAAGCAAAACAGGAAATCTTAAGAGGTGGTGGAGTGTAACTAAACACATTTACTCAAATACTTTACTACTTACAATGTTTAGGTAGTTTACTTTACCATGTATTTGACTTGTACACACACATATATAGATATGTATAACTAATAGATACATGTTTTCTGTTTTATATGATTGACAAAACGAGATAAGATAAATCTTCAATCTGAAAATAATAAATTAGAGTTATTATAAAATACTATAGAAAGGTATGTCATTAGATATGAGCCGATTTAGAAACGACAAGGGCTTGAGAAGTAATGTAAGCAGTAGAATAAAGGATTGAATGGATAATCAATCAAACATTTATAAGCTATGAAGTACTCTCTTTAAAATAACTATTAAAAGACTCAAATACAGAAAATATATTAAAAAGAATGAATTATCTTTAATGATATAGCCTACATTTATACAATTCTACAGCAGACTTTCAGTAAGACTAACTGTGAATAAGGAAAAAGACAGAACATTTTCCTGTAACAACTGAAACATTGAATAACATGTTGAATGCTGGGAAATTAAATACTTAAGTCTAAATCAATTCAGTATTTTGTCCTATTAAATAATACAAAACATTTAATAGTTTACACAATCAATGTTAAATATAAATTACATAAAAAGCACCATTTCAAGGATGAGGATATTAAAATAAATAATTAGCCTTTCCATATCAATACAGTACAGTACAATTTCAAAGTAATGAAAGGCTGTGCAGTCACACTGAACACTCGTGCCCACTGATGGAGAATGGATTCAACATACAGTACATCATGAAATGAGGGATTGCTTGCATGACTTCCACAATCGACAGAAAAATAATTCTGTTTGTATAAAGACACATATAAATATGTGGCTCAATCAATAACAACACATCTTCACTATTGCAGGTGATGCACAACATCTCCTTATGTTTTTCTTTCTGTATAATAATCATACATTTCCTTGAAAAACAAATGGGAGATACTCTGTAAGAAGATTGTCAGTTTTCTTGATGTACCATAGGAATATCTAAACGTTTCCACGTTGCTGAACATCCATAACAAAGATGTTGTACTTTACTTCAATGCATTGAGCACAACGCCCTGAAAAATAAAACATTAGTTAGTTTTTCAAGCCCACTCATCAACTAGTTACTCAAAAGAGCAGCTGTGAAAAGCTGAAGTTCATGTCCCACATCTTTACCCACTGAAGTCGTGGAATAATATTGAATAAACTGTATATTGGTTAAGGTCAGGAAATCATTTTACTGTACACCGTTCATGCACAAGCCTTTCACTAATATAAAAGTGACTAATGATCATAAACAGTCACACAAGCGGGTGCAACAACACACCTTAATTTGATCCCTTAAGACCTGCCTGTCAAGCACACACGCACACACAAAGTGAGAAAGGAGCTTACTGTGAGTATAAAAATGAGGGTTAACTGTTTCAACAGGTGCTTTAAAAAGTCACAAGAACATATCAAAGACTGAGGCACAAAGCTGCCTTCTTACAACCAACCAACACAAGTACCAGCAAGCAATGATGGTGTTTGTGTCTTTACCGACATACATTGTATAGAAAAAGTCATACAGCTACATAAAAGGGCTTTCAATGTTTACTAGGCCTGTAGGTCTAAAGTCACAAATATATTTAATTATCCGTTTTATTTATACA